AAATAAACGTTAAAAAAAATTTTTTTAAAGAACTTCTCCTCCAGCCTCCCCAGAGCAATAATACAAAACACACAGTTACAAGTTTGCTACCCCTACCCTATCCACAAAATGCGGTAGCTGTTACATCTGATTGAAACAAGTATTCACTCTTTATTTTTGTTCCTCTCATTAAAACCCTTTATTATTTCTTGTAGATCTGGTTCACTTTTTCATGGTGTGGGCATGGTAGACCTATTAAAATATGCCTGCTATTTTAGGATGTCATTCAGGAATTACTTGTTCCTTGTCAGATACAACAATAAAATCCACTTCTTGTGAATATGAAATTTATTGTATCATAGTCTGCTTAATTGGGTTATATAAATATTATAAGTTCCAATGCTATGAAATTCATATCTCTGTATCAGATGTCAGTACACTATCAATGTTCACTTCATGCCTGGAAGCATGGATTCCTAACTAGAAAGCAAATTTCTGCCATTGCTACTTTTTCTATAAAGCAACATAGATTATTTAAAAGTACAGGGCTATTTTAATCGACTAATTCTGTAAGAGTGGAAAGATAATTCCATGTGTTTTTTTCTAAACAGATGTCGTCTTGCCATATTTAAAGATTACATACAAATTCTAACGTGTCTTCCTCATATAAAGCCTACTAACAAGGGACCACATGGGGTAGGGAAGAAACGAGCAATGCTGGAATTAGACCGAGATGGGTCCTGGTTCCATGACATACAACTGTGAAACCTTTGGCAAGTGACTTGTCTGAGCCTCAGTTTCTTCATCTGTAAGATGTAATGAATAACACACATAAATCAGTGAGTTTAGGTTTTGGTACGTTCTAGGGGCCTCCTGAATAATCCTTTATTGATATGTTTTACTTCTGTCCCCCTTGCAAGTCTCAGGCTGAAAGGAAATTAACAGACTTTGTAGGATTTGAACGCTGTATGCCTTGCGACTTCTATTCACATACTGTCAGCAAATATAAGAGAACCTGTTCCTGCATTCTGTATCCCTGGTCCTTTTTCCCCAAATGTCACTCACATTCACCAGCACAGGTACAACTCAGCATTCCTGGAGCATGCACTACACAGCCATAGGATTCCCAGACAGTGGGATATTCTATTCTGGAGCTAAATTTCCCCACAGATCAGGATTATTGCCTTCAGTCATAATTGTTCTCAAGCATGCTTCCCACCTCATCCCATACATATTCATGCACACAGTAACTAGAACATACCAAGGGAGGGATGAATGGAGGATTGTAAGTGACCCTCTCAGCCATCAGATGTCTTTCTGAGTAGCAACTACTAGAGTTCTAACTCTTTCACTCTTCTTTGGATGACAGGCACACAAGTTAACTGAAACCAGAAGCTTGAGCTCCAACTCAACTGATGCTTTCAAGGACTTAGATGACTGCGTGCCATTTTAATAACAGTGTCTACTAACTAAATAGGGGTCCATTTGGCCTTTTCACACCCAAGACTATTTGCTTCCCCACAGAAGCATCAACTAACTTAATTATGGCTTACAGGAAAAATTACAGTGGGTGGAAGGAAGAGCTTAAAATAGGATTTCAATCAACGTGAGAACTGAAATGGAAGAGATATTATATAAAGAACATCTAAATATTCAGTGCTGTACTTCTCATTTTTTTATAAAGGAAAGTGCCTTTTTTTTGAAGTTTATTTATTTATTTTAAGAGAGACAGAGACCGTGTGAGTGGGGGAGGGACAGAGAGAGGAAAACAGAAAATTCCAAGCAGGGTCCATGCTGCCAGTACAGAGCCTGATGTGGGGCTTGATCATGAACTGCGAGATCACAACCTGAGCCAAAACCAAGAGTTGGATGCTTAACCTACTAAGCTACCCAGGTGCCCCAGTCCTGCACTTCTCTTAATTTTAAGGCGGGGGGGGAGGGGGGAGAGACCTGTTTATACCAAATAAGAAACTTTGGTTATTTAAGCTAAACATAAACTTTATGTAATGGATCCAGATTTTAACTATGTAATAGCTTGTCAGCAGTTGGCCTTCTAAATCAAACTGATGTGTCAATGAACCTAAAAATAATTGGCTTGGAGTTTGAAATAAAAATTTAATACCAAAGGAAAAAGGGGATCTTTCAAACCCATTTTTCAAACAGAAGCATGTATAGTGAGAAATTGGTAGCAAAGAGAGAGGGGATGAGTAGATAAAGAGATTTCTCTTCAGTTTCCATGCATCAAAAGAAGAAATAAATGATTGTTTACATATAACCCAAACTTGAAATAAAATAGTTTGGAGAGTCTTCTCTCACAATGGCTCCTTTAAAGAATATTAAATTAAAAAAAAAAAAAAAAAGAAAGAAAGAAATTTCCTGCCTGTTGCTAGTTAGAAACCTTGTCACGTTAATTTGTTCCAAGAATGTATGACCTCAGTTCCATATTACTGCAGCAAGAGACATTAGAGTTTCAAACAATTTATTGGGATGGATATCTATAATGTTAATAGGATTATGCCTGCCTTTTTTTTTTTTTTTTTTTTTTTTAAGACTAAAGTGTTCCTAAGTCAAATGACTTAAGGCTGGGGAATATCCAGAACGTTTTCTAAATGCCAAAAGAGAAAACGTGGTGCCATTATGCACACCTCCCGAGATTAAATTTATCCCCTTCAAGTTTGATTATTTCACTCCCAGAAAACTTGAATGACTCTTCTCCAATTCCTTAGAAATATATAATTATCAAAACTCCATCAACTCCTTTTTTTCCCCCAAATAAGGGGTAATTACTCCCAGAAACTTTTTTCATTTTCTTTTATTCAGATTTGATTAAAAATTACATTTATAAAGGCAACACAGCCATCTAGTGGACAGATTTTTAACAGCTGATTATTTTACCTTTGAGAGGTTTAAGTTTGTGAAAGAAAAACTTAAGCCAAATAAAATACTTGTTTTATGACACATGATTATATTTCTCATGTGTCATAGGATTTATAGACATGATTATAAGAGGCAGGGGGGATATTTATAGAGGCAATGGTGTTTCTTTAGACAACTGTTGTATAACATTTCCAGACACAAATTTTTAACCACCATTGCCATCCCCACATACCCATTCAAAAAACCAACTTGTTTTATCAAAATGTATACATAAAAGTGATAAGGTTGAAGTCAAGGGTTTGACTCTAACTGGATTTTTCTATGTGAGAAATTATGCATGGCATATGGTTGCTTTCCCCACCTTCTGGGGCCTTTTTTTCTTCCGTGTCTTGTCTTTTCTAAGCAACGCATCACTGCTCTTCTCCTCTCTGCACTCCCTTCTCAAAGTTTCTCTGCCGATGTGAGCAAGGTGTACCCCCAGGGGGCTCTTTGCAATAGCAAACCTAGTTCGCGGTCATGAGTGGAATCTCCTCATGGAGATTCTCCTCGTGGAGGCTTTGCTGTGAAAATGCTCTGTAACAACTCCTTCCTGGTAATCTCAAATTCCAGGGAATTGAGAAGTTGCTTCCTGCCAGTATCTACCATATATTTAGCCCTCTGGGCAATAACCCCGACAGCCCGATAGTGGTGGACGGTGCTTATGGAGGAGGCGTGTGAACTCAGTCAACTGGTTTGTGATAAGAGTTTTACCTTTTCCAAACACGTAAGAGCAAACAGTCTTTGTAAATAACTAAAAAGGCAAAAATACCACAATTAATTCTTTTATATAAAGAGAAGTGGCATTGAATAGTGAAGATGAACCTGAGACCAGAAGTCAAAAGACATGAGTTCAACTCCAGCCCTGATGTGGCTTACTCGTGGGAATGGTGTAAATCAACCCTGGGGACTGTTTGCTCTTAAATAAGATGGGAATGATTAATAACAAATCCCCTGCTTACCTTACAGGACTATTGTGAGGAAGAAGTAGTCAGGTCATGTATGAGGAAGTGTTTTACAATAATGGCAAAGTATAAGGCTTTATTTCCTCAAGTTGAAATTAAAAGCTCTTTGGTAAACTTGGGTTTGTCATTTTATTTATTTATTTATTTTTAACATTTATTTATTTTTGAGACAGAGAGAGACAGAGCATGAATGGGGGGAGGGCCAGAGAGAGAGGGAGACACAGAATCTGAAGCAGGCTCCAGGCTCTGAGCTGTCGGCACAGAGTCTGATGCGGGGCTCGAACTCACGGACCGTGAGATCGTGACCTGAGCCGAAGTCGGACGCTCAACCGACTGAGCCACCCAGGCGCCCCAGGGTTTGTCATTTTAATATGCAGCTAATTTGCCCTTCCATTTAATAATTAAGCACGTGTGATAATTTGCCTTTTTGTCTCAAGTTTTTAGTCTTTGCTCTACAACCTTGTATAGTGGCTCTTAACCCTATCCCCATTACGAGTGAAGGAAAATAAAGCATGGAAACCAAAATCATTGTAAAGGAGGTATAGTCTACATTCAGAGAGCACGTCATTGCCTTCTTGCCCCATTCCATAAGCACACCTCACTGCCTGTTCTGATTTATCATTCCCACCCTGAAACATCTAATCTGCCCATTTGGGCCCTTCATCCATATCATGACTTTTTTACAGCTCTCAGCCTCGCAGGTGTGACAGTCCCCCTCTGCTTGGAATTAATTCCCCAGTCCCCCTCTGCTTGGAATTAATTCCCTTTGCCCAGGTCTCCCTCTGAAACACCTGCTCTTTGGTCAGCTCAGTCTAATCATTACCTCCTCTGCAAAGCCTCTCTCCATTCTCCCCTGCAGGAGTGTGCAGATACTGTAACTACCTAAGGACCGGTGGATGCATACCACTATTTTAGCTCTCACTGCAGCGCTGTGTGATGCTTATTTACCTGTCAGAACCTTTCAGTTTCAGAGACTCTGTCTTATTCATCTTGAATTTCCAACCCAGGCAACATTGCATGGACCAGCTGTCTCATACATATTTATAAATTGTTGTTGATTCCCAAATAGAGCTGTACTATTATTTTACCATGGTATTTTTATGGAGAGAGAAAAAAAAATGAAGCATTTAAAGAATAACCTACCAATTCTTTTTCAGAGTCCAAAGGATATTGGTTCCATTTTGCACTGGCAAATGTGAGGCAGAAGCTGTTAAATAAAAAAGAAAAATGGATTTAATGTAAGAATATTAAAATATTGAGTAGTATCTGCAGTTACCAATTACACTGGATCTTTCTTGAGCCTTGATGTCATAGTGAATTAAATTCAAGCATCAAATTGATTTCTCAGTTGAGTTTTTGTGTAAATATATGTGGTTTTGTGATCAGCCTCTATCCTAGAGTTACCATGGCTACTGCAAAGTTTTCATCTTATTTGCAGTCATTTCAAGGGCTCTCCCTAAGAACCAATTGTTTTTCTTACAAAAGTAGACTGTCTTCCAAAATAGGCCCTGCACATATCCATGATGATGAATCAGTAGGTAGGCTCTATAATGGGCAGCTGGTAATGTTTTCTGCACCCCACTAGCCCAACTCCCCCGTAAACAAAAACCCCACACACAAAGAAGGTATACATCCTTATTTTCTGAAATATACCACATGTATTTCTCGCTTCTCAAAAATGACCATTCTAGAAAATTTCTAATGGGATTTTAAATGCTTATTTTAGTGGGGTGTCTGGGTGGCTCAGTCAGTTAAGTGTCCGACTTCCGCTCAGATCATGATCTCATGGATCATGAGTTCCAGCCCTGCATCGGTCTCTGTGCGGAGAGCTCAGAGCCTGGAGCCTGCTTTGGATTCTGTGTCTCCCTCTCTCTCTTCCCCTCCTCTGCTTGCACTCTGTCTCTCTCAAAAATAAACATTAAAAAATTTTTTTTAATTCAATGCTAATTTTAGTATACTTAGCCTAGATTACTGGCACTATCTTCTATAAAATATTTCAACTTTGACCAAGACCCCCCCTGGTGAGCATTGTACATGCATTCTGTTATCTTTATGGCTTTAGTTGTTTAAAAAGCTGAAATGTTAGTTAAGAGTGTTACAAACATTGTCAAAGTGAAAAAAACATGTCTCCACATGACCCCTCACAACTGTTAAGCTTGATTTACTTTTAGAGCTTTTCTCAAGCACATGTACTATGTATATATGTTGATGTAGAGCAAATATTTCCTGTCCTTTATCACCTTAAAAAAAAACCCTCTACTATGCTACTTAGAGCAAGATCAAATAAGTCAGGACAGACGTTAGTCATTCCTAAGGCATAGATGGTAAACAGTCTAGTACCTGCTCCTTTATCATTTTATCCATTTCTCTTCATCATAAAGTGGCATTATCAGTGGTTCTTGATAATTGGGACTTTGAAGCCAACTTTTTAAGAATGGTTGTAAAGCAAAGTCAATTAAAAGGACACTTGACAATTGCTAAATGTCAGTTTCTTTCTCCAGGGCAGTGTTGTATCCGATATCAGATCAAGAAACAGAGCAAACGGTGAACAGTTAAGCACTTATTGAATATCTGTTATAAGCAGTTTTAGTACAAATGTGTGTCCATATTTTACCATCTGCAGAAATGAAAAATGTAAACAACCCAATATTTCAGGATGATCACTCTAATATGGTGGCATTTGGGATGTTTGTAAATATCACAGAAACAGATAGAAGAGCCAGAATTCATGTTCAGAAACTTGTGAGTCATGCATGCAGATTCCAGATTTGTTACTCTTACAGCAAAGAGACCATGGAGAACATTTTTTTTTCCCCTGAGATGTTGTGTAAAGTATAGCTGCATTTGTGTGGCACACTCTGTGGGACACTGTGGAAATGTAACAGAAGTACATTCTCAGGTGGGTTATTATTGAATCAGTGAAAGCATGCTCATTTTCTGGTCTGTTTATGGTGTGTGTACGCATACACATATAAGCTCAGTAAAGCTTGGCAGAATGAGTATTAATCTATTTAAGTATGGTCTTTTTAGAATTTACAAAAATCTTGTATATTTTATATATTTGGCATCATGAATTTCTCCCAGGAAATTTCACAGGATATTGTCAAGTGTATTCCTACCTCCTCCCACCCAATTTCCCATAATTACTAGAAATATGTCAAATTCCAGAGAAGCACTCCTCCTCAAAGATGCTTTGAGAAGCTAATGGATCTCCTCTCAAATGCATCCCTGACCTACACATGTTGTTACATGGAGGGCTGAGGGTTCTAGGCTACCTCAAGCTGCAGACACATTCACAGATCCCACAGGCAGAGACCTAAATGACTGTGCCGCTCTCTCTGATTCCCACCTCACTGTTTTCCCCATGGCTGCTCCACACTGAAGGCTTTGAGGGTTCTCACCTTGGAACCGCTTCCTCCCTGTGGAGCACTAGTCAGTTTGCTGTGTGTTTAAGTAACAATCAGCTCTAGTTTCTGCTCCCCAGAATCCTTTGCAGTTCCCACTGCATTCTCTTTTCTCCAGGTAGTCCGCTTTCCCCTTCCCATCTAGTCTCTTTCAGTTCCACATTGGCCCCTCTGCCATAGATTCTGCCCTTTGCAACATTCTCTCTTTCCTTACCCTTGCCCGGTCAGAATGAATGAATTAATGAGACAATGTCTCCACTTCTGTTACCAGACTTTCCAGATTAAGACTAACGGTTTGTTGTAATCCTTCTCCCACGAACCTCCTTATTTCCACCACAACCATATTTAGTGTCCCTTTTCTGCATTCACACAAGTAGTATATTGCCTCAGTGCCTATCAGAAAGCATGTTTTTTAAAAAAATTTTTAAATGTTTATTTTTGAGAGAGAGCGAGAGCGAGCACAAGTGGGGGAGGGGCAGAGAGAGAGGGAGACACAGAATCTGAAGCAGGCTCCAGGCTCTGAGCTGTCAGCTTAGAGCCCTATGTGGGGCTTGAACTCACGAACCGCGAGACCATGACCTGAGCCAAAGTCGGATGCTTAATCATGACCTGAGTCAGAGTCCAACACTTAACCGACTGAGCCACGCAGGCATCCCGAGCATGGTTTTTAATAGGTACTCAATAAGGATTACAGAGGTGTGTGGGAATTGGGTTCAAATTCCAACCATACAACATAATTTAGTGTCCGACGTTGAGCCAACCTAGGAGACAGTTCTGTGGCTCACTTTGCTCACCTACAAAATGGGGACGATAAAACCAAAGAGACAAAGACAGTGCCTGGCACATAACAGGCACTAGGAAATAATAGTTCCCATTACTCCTCGTGGAATAAATGTATGAACAAATGAAAGACCTGTTGTCTGAACTTTTACTCTCTGACGGGCTCCCATGAGGCTTCCTGGGTTTCAGACAGAGGGATCAGTTTAATTCAGTGGGTTGACTTTCCGAGGACACTGAGTCATCCCAACCATCCTGCCTCTTAGTATCACCCATAACCTCCCTTGTTATGTCTGGTCTACACCGAGAACCTTGAGTGTTCTACCCTATAGTGCTGCTTAGCTGCAGTTTATCTGAATCCTCTTGTTCTGGGTTACTAAAGCCCATGGGATTATCCTAGCTCCTGCAATCCTGCAATATTTTCAAATTGACATTCCAGAGACCCAGAGGCCCAGTGCTCTCTGACCCAAACCCTCAGAGTGACTGCCCTGTCCCTCCCAAGACATTGAAGATTGACTAAATGGGAGGAAAGGGCAAAGACAAAGTCAAATACAAACCCAGTGGTTCAAACTTGAGTGGATGGAGGATTGACAGTGTCAGGGACAGAAAACCCGGGGTGCAGAAAATGACAATGTGATTTTAGCAAATTTTGTTTTAGAATCTGAAACATTTTATATTTTTAGCTATCAGTGGGGGAAAATAAATGGAAAACAAACTAGGAATAGAACCAAGCAAAAGTCAAAATGATGTTACTCCAAAGAGTAACATCATAATATCTATCGAATATTAAAGCATATAATCACGTGAGTACCTTAGAGATGTTAAGTAATTCAAATTATGTAAGGATGAAGTCAGAATGTAGAACAGAATCCATTTTTGAGATTATTATTTACTTCATTATTTTATTAAATCATTTATAAATTTATTATAAATTTATTATAAAATTTATTTCTAAATTTATTATAAATTATTATAAATTTATTAAATCATTAATAAATTTTATTAAATCATTTTGATTCCTTTCGTCAACATAGGCTCACCCATCATTTCAAAATGGTATCACTCTTCTTGTGCTTTATATATTCTCACATCGTTGAAGATAAAATTCTTCTGCAAAATCCTTTCCTGGAATTTTTTTTTCTTTTCTTTAACTAACTGGTTTTCCCTAGACACACTAAAGTGTTATACTACCTTGCAGCCTCACTGTTAGGAATGAAGAAAGAGGAGAAAATGCAGGAAGACCCACACATACCACCAAAATGGAGAGCATCCAGGTCCTAGAGGAAAGGTGAGTGGGGTTCACCTGGTAATTGTGTCTTGTTTTGGTACACTGTTCACATCTACTCAGTGCTGAGGTGTGAGCTCTTGAGTCCTGGTACTCCTCCAGATGGTTTTGTGGAATGCACACCATCTCAGCCTGGGAGATCTTATTTTGTGATGGTAATTGCTTTTAATCAGGTTTTTCTATTATCAGTGTTAAGCTATCAGTGAACACACTGCCTCAGTTTATCTTTCTCTTTCAAAAAGTAATGATTATTAATGTGCAATAGCCCCCGTTGGCCCTAATTCTTTACCTGCCTTTTCTACGAATATTTTTTCTAAGTTTTTCTCTCTATCAGGGGAAAGTCTAAAACAGACACAAAAACATATGTAACTACCTAAGTTGGTCAGAAAGGGCACCCAGTTAGTCCCTGGTCCCATTTCCATCAGAACAGACTCTAACCAAGTATTTTCTCCAAAATGAGAATCAACTTCTCATTGCAGTATCTACAGAATAAAATTAAAATCTAAGCAGATTAGTCATATAATTATAGGTGCTTTCTTTTTCTGCTTCTTAGAAAATTTTAATGTTGATGCTCCATGGTAATTTTAACACCTTTAAATTAAAAAAAAAATTTTTTTAATGTTTATTTATTCTTGAGAGAGAGAGAGAGACACAGAGCATGAGTGGAGGAGGGTCAGAGAGAGAGAGAAGGAGACACAGAATCCAAAGCAGACTCCAGGCTCTGAGCTGTCAGCACAGAGCCTGACGCGGGGCTCAAACCCAGGAACTGTGAGATCATGGCCTGAGTCGAAGTCGGATGCCCAACCAACTGAGCCACCCAGGCGTGCCCCCACCTTTAAATTTCTTTTAAATAAAAGAGGAAGTTCAGACATTTTGGAATAGTAGCAAATCTACTTAAAATACTTGATCAGAAAAAAATAAGAAAAAAGAAAATACAGGTACTTCTCTGACCAAATTATTTCAGGTTGGAGAATTCTTTTTTTTTTTCTTTTTTTTCTTAAAGTTTTTATTTAAATTCCAGTTGGTTAACATATAGTGTAATATTAGTTTCAGGTATACAATATAATACCCATCATGATTAGTGCATTCCTTAATCCCACCACCTACTTAAACCATCCCCCCACCACCCACCTTCCTTCTGGTAACCATCAATTCATTCTCCATAGTTAAGAGTCTGTGTCTTAGTTTGCCTGTCTCTTCCCCCCCCCCTTTCTCATTTGTTTTGTTTCTTAAATTCCATATTATGAGTTGAATTATATCGTTTTTATATTTCTCTGACTTATTTCACTTAGCATAATACTCTCTAGCTCTGTCCATGTCATTGCAGAATGGCAAGATTTCATCCTTTTTATGGCTGAGTCATATTCCATTATATATATATATATATATATATATATATCATATCTTCCTTACCCATTCTTCAGGCGATGGACAGTTGGGTTGTTTCCATAACTTGGCCATTGTAGATAATCCTGCTATAAATATCAGGGTGCATGTATCCCTTTGAATTAGTATTTTTGTATTCTTTGGGTAAATACCTAGTAGTGCAATTGCTGGATCTTAGGGTAGTTCTATTTCTAACTTTATGAGGTTAGAAAATTCTTAAATAAACCAATGGATAAGAAAGCAAGATCAGGATCAAGTTAACCATAAGAATCTCCCAAGCTGCTTCTTTCCATTTCTTTGATGTATACCAAAGGAGTGATAAATGGTGGTTTCTGAATGAACACGGCCACTGAAAACTTGAATATAAATATCTAGAAAGCCCTCAGTGTCATTATAAAGGCCCTGTCCTTTTTAACTCTAATAACTCCATTCATGGTAATAATTCATTCATAACATTTCATAGAGTAACTATTAAAGCTTAGGAAAATGTGTGACTAGTGCACACGATACATTCTTACTTTAGATTTAGTGACAAATGAAAAAGTAGCTACCAGAAAGGAAAAGAGAAACTATGCCTTATGGCTTTTTAAAATTAAAATCTGTATCAGATGCAAACAAAAAGTTCAACTTGCCCTTCAAAGTAACACATAGGCTGTCTTTATCAATTTGTAATGCATTAAGATTTGAACATTTCCAGGCTTCCTTAGGAATTTATGATGATAATGTGCATAGTGTGTGTTGCCCCTTGCTATTTGAATGCTTAGCTCCCTAACACACACTTGTGCCTAAATGAATTTTTCTTAATACCCAGAAATAACTAGCCTAGTCCTGGCGGGTGATTCCCAGACCAGGCCGAACTGATGGGAAATGAGCACTAGATGGCAGCAAGTGAATAGTAATTTCTATCTTCCTAGGCTAAGCATTCTTCGGTCAAAGCTGCCTTTGGTAATGGCCCAATTCTGTCTTTGCAGCCAAAACCCCACTTCAGATGAAGTGTTGTCCTGGTCTCAAAATTTTGACAAGATGATGAAGGCCCCAGCAGGAAGAAACCTTTTCAGAGAGTTTCTCCGAACAGAATACAGCGAAGAGAACCTACTTTTCTGGCTTGCGTGTGAAGACTTAAAGAAAGAGCAGAACAAAAAAGTAATTGAAGAAAAGGCCAGAATGATATATGAAGATTACATTTCTATACTATCACCAAAAGAGGTAAACATCCGGAAAATAATTGATGTGGGCTTCCTAAAACCAAGGATGAACCCGAGGGGACCTCTGTCCAAGTTGGGTGATGCATGGGGTGTGGACAGGCTCCAAGGCTTCCCTGGACACATAATTTAGATTCCACTCTGAGAATCTACCTGAATAGGTTTGAAGACTAGGTTTCCCCTCTATGCTTTGATCATTTATCTCTGGCTGAATCGTGTGGTAGGCTACTTGCTTTTCAGAACTAACATTAGGAAGCCTGTTAGACACAATTTGCTTTATACAGTGACTTATGCTAAAGTGGAAAAGAAGAGTTTACTGTGGGGAAGTCTTTCTCAAAGTGTGGTCCCCAGATCTCCTGTATGAGAATCACCTGGAGCATTTGTTTGAAAAGCAAATACTCGAGGCCTACCCAGGACCACTGAATCTGAATTTTTGGATATAGAGCCCAGGAATCTGGACTTTTAACAAGCTTTCCACACGCATACTAGTTTGAAGACTTCTGTAATAGGAGCTGTAAAAACAAAACAAAACAAAAGCTGCCATGTTTGTTGATGTTTATGATAGAATTGTTGCAGAATTGAAGAATGGGCCTTGACCCTTTAATATTCTTTGGGGAGAGATGGTAATAGCAATTCTTTTACTTATTCTAGTTATCCTAGTTTTGCCATTGCCAAAATGTACCTAATAGAGGGGACATTTCAGGCAACCAAATGAACACTTTTCCGTTAACTCTGTAAAAAATCAATTTGCTCCTGAGAAATGTTCCAGCTTCCAGAGTTTAAAGCAGGGAGGGATTGATGAGGGACGGGTTAGTAGTGTAGCCAGGCCTCAGGAGTATGGGGTGACAGACTTCCGAGGTACGCATTTGAATTGAGAGGTTCCCAGAAGGCCTTCTTTTCTCCACACCACCTTCTGTCTTTTCTGTCTCTGTGCATTTAAACATCCTGACCGGGTACCTTCTGCTCCACACTCCTCTCCTGTGCACACAGACATTTATAGAGTCCCCTAGAAATTGTGCTTATCGATGCCTCACCCAACCTGGGATGTGGCCCCCACCTGCCTTCCACTCCTCACCTTGAAATCTATAAAATGAATCAGTGTCTACTTTATAATCTCTATGTTTGGAGTGCTATATAAACCATTTCACTTCTAATGAGGTATATACCTAAGTCAGTTTTTAAAAATTTGTTAGTTAGGTTATAATTGCCGTTGGTATTCCAGACTACTCCAATAGTATTGTCTCTACAAAATGAGGAACCTGGAATTGGATACACAAAGATTTTCCTACTTTTTTTCTTTATTTCCTGCATCAACATAGAAAAAGTATTCAGAGAAACAAGGTGGCGAGAATTTTTTCTGTAGCCTCAATACATTTATTACTGATGCCACATTGTGGTTCTAACACCATTATACTTCTATATCCCAGAAGTACATTCTTCAGGTTTCTGGTCTATCTAGAACCTCAGCATCTAACCAGTTCTATGTGGATTTTATTAGCATATTAATTTCATTCTCATTTTTATTTTAATATTGCATTACATGGCAGATATATCAAAGGATCCAATTGTGCCTGAAAATGTGCTTCTCTTGCCTGTAATTAGTGTTTGGGAAGATTATCTAGCCCATTTCTTTCCCCAAAATATATAATATGTATCATCTGAAAATGCTAAATGTCTTGATTATCTGGTTCATTCTTTGCACTATTTATGATGGTGTTCTATTTTTTGTTTAAAATTTTTTTGAATATTTATTCATTTTTGAGAGAGAGAGAGACAGAGCACGAGCAGGGGAGGGGCAGAGAGAGAGGGAGACACAGAATCCAAAGCAGGCTCCAGGCTCCGAGCTGTCAGCACAGAACCCGACATGGGGCTCGAACTCACAAGCCGTGAGATCATGACCTGAGCCGAAGTCAGACGCTCAACCGACTGAGCCACCCACCCAGGCGCCCCCGATGGTGTTCTATTTTAAAATAATGTTGGTAGGGGGCGCCTGGGTGGCGCAGTCGGTTAAGCGTCCGACTTCAACCAGGTCACGATCTCACGGTCCGTGAGTTCGAGCCCCGCGTTGGGCTCTGGGCTGATGGCTCAGAGCCTGGAGCCTGTTTCCGATTCTGTGTCTCCCTCTCTCTCTGCCCCTCGCCCGTTCATGCTCTGTCTCTCTCTGTCCCAAAAATAAATAAGCGTTGAAAAAAAAAAATTTAAAATAATGTTGGTAGAAAAAAATATTCTCAGTTATTAAGTACATGTAATTCCTTTACAGTCTCTATTGGCTAGCTTTTAATTTTTATAGGAAACACTTGCCCATTGTCTTCACAGTCCTGATTTTCAGATGTCACTGATTAATGGAGTTTTGTAAAATACACAATTTTCACAAAATTAATTCTTCTTTGGGCTATAGTTTAAAGCTATCTTAGTTGTTGATTACTCACATATAAACTATTCAGTTTTCATTCTTTTTTCAAAAATAATGGAATTTTGTTTTACCCTAATATCTTCATTTTAAAGATGAGTTTCACGAAAGTCATTAAAATATTATTTCCTGATCAAGATAATTTTCCTAAATTACATGGACTAATATTTAGTATAACAGCCATGTATTTTTTTCTCCTTTGTCTATCTATATTTGGGCCATTACCCACTCTTGAATATCCCCTAAACACTACACAGAAAGGCAGAAGCGAAATTCAAATTTTTATCATTTTGGTACTTATGTGTTGACTTCTAAATGACTCTTGACACAGGATCTAAATTATTGGAGAGTGTTCAGTACCTCGTTTAGCCAACAGACTGTTCTTCTCTCGACATAATAATTACACTTGATCATTGTTTAGCAGCAAAAACAAACCAAAAGTAGGTATTTGCAGTTATAAAAGATAATTGTTTAAAGGTTATATTTCAAGCCAAGGTATAGATATATTTATTCTTGAACCATGACCTGAGTCACTGATACACTTAGAGCATGACGTGCACTTTCTAGCTACTGCAGAGCCATTTCTAAACTATTATGTCTCACTGACCTTTCTGTGCAAAAACTTCTCAATCTCTAATCAGCCACAATACATTAATAACTGATGATACTGAGCTATCACCCTTTGAGTTTTGTTTTCCAACCCTGGAGAGAACACATGCCACATCAAGGGAGCCCTGACTATATAGCAGTAAGGACACTGAACTCCTCATTCAAGTGCGTGGGATTCTGGTTCTGACTCTGCTTCATCCTAATTGTGCGGCCTGGGATAAATTAGTTCACTTCAATGATTCATTAATCAGTTGATTTGTTTACAAAAATAAAGATAAAAAGGGACACAGAGAATAGTAAACCAAATCCAGAATGACAGCTGGGAAGCTCTTACACCACTACTTCATTCTCTCCACCAAATGACACGGCTAATCGATCCTGGTTCTTACTGTTAAAGCCAGATTCAACCTGAGAATCCCCTCAACACAATATTCAAAGCAGCCATAACTGACCAATTGGGAGTTGGGATCTATTTCCCATTTGGGGGCTAGATAACCAGGCTGTTCCACCTCTGGAATTCTGTAACTGTTTGTACTTATTCAAACTATGTTTTTTATTTATTTTGAGAGCGAGAGAGACATCATATGTGAGGGGGGAAGGGAGCAGAGGAGACAGAATCCCAAGCAGGCTCCATGCTATCAGCGCAGAGCTCAATGCCGGGCTCGATCTCACGAACGGCACGCGAGATCATGTCCTGAGCAGAAATTGAATAGGATGCTTAACCAACTGAGCTACACCCAAGCGCCCCTCAAAATATTCTTAAATAACATGAATATTTGAATCATTTATAAAATAATGACTAAATAACTAAAAATTGTTAGGATTCGATTCTTAACTAGAAACTCATTTTTCTTCACTAGACTCTCATTTAACCTTAATTTGATTGAGTTATCATGCTCCTCTTTGTTAAATGTAGAGAAATCTACATTCTTCGGTGGGGGGGATATATATATATATTTTTTTTCTTAAGCCAGTGTGCTTGAAATTACATTTTTTATTTTAATAAAAATTACATTTTTATGCATTTTAATGATTTGAGCATTATGTTTTAAGTAGATGTTTGCAATCAGGAGACAATTTAACTCCCATTTCTTGGTATAGCATACATCTCAAGAGGGGAAAGGGCTAAATTTTAAATTTAAAAAAATGAGTAAATAGCATTTTTCAACAGTAAATTTTTAATGTGATGTTCTCAAAGAAAAAATAAATGGGAGCAGTAAGGAATAATTTAATATTAACCTTGCTGCAGATTGCAGATACTTATAGCAGCTTATATTTATTAAACATCAAAAAGACAAACCCAGCAAAATAAACAACTTTAATAAAAAGTCTATTTGGGGTGCCTGGCTTGCTCAGTTGGTAGATACACCTGCAACTCTTGATCTCGAGGTTATGAGTTTGAGCCCCATATTGGGTGTAGAGGTTACGCAAAAAATAAAATCTTTTTTTAAAAGTCTATTTGAAAGCTATTACCTACCATAAACAGCATTGAGCTATTGAGTGAATACATAACTATAAATCATCAACACATGTAAGACATCTGAATTGAAGAAAACTATGTGCCATCAGTTTTTTACAAATCTCTTTAGTGATGGCATTATCCTTAACCTAGGCCGTAATCCAGGTCTGCTACTACTTACCATCCTTGTGACACTAAGCAACTCACTTCAGTGCTCTCTGACCTCATCTTCCTCATTTTGTAGAAAAATAGCATAGAAAAAGTTCAGAAACTGGCTAAATCTCTGACTTTCTGGCTCTCTCCCACGGGCATCTGACTAGTGGTAGGGGTTATTTGCTGCTTCTGATTTCATCCTGAATTTCCAGTTGCTCTCTGAGAGAAAAAAAGCAGTAAACCTATTTAAATTCCTAAATTATCTAAAAATGATGCACATGTGATAGATATGTGGCTTCTCTGTGTGCAGGTATATGCCTCTTCAAGCAAAATTATGTGAATTTAGAACTTCAGTGAATTAGTTTTTCTAAACAGGACTCATTTTGTATTTTCCTAGATTCATTTCTTTGGGCATGAATATTATCATTCAGAACATATTTAACTTTTCCCTATGAGCCAGGTACTGGGCTAGATGTTGGGAATATGTTAGTGAATGAGGAAAACATTGGCCTGTCCTATTTATGGAGCTTACATTTTAGGAAGACAGACAAATCATGTCAAAAGCAAGTAACTAAAAACTGTAATAAACATTATGATGGGTGTGGAGGTCAATAGTATAGTTTAGAATAGGGGTTGTAAGGTAAGGTCACTCTGAGTAGGTAAAATTCAAGTTGATACAAAGTCTGAAGACACTGATCAAAAAAGTGTCATGATATGGTCCATCATTATTATTACTAATACCACTTTACATTGGGCTTACATTTTGTTATTGACAAAATGGTCTCACATACATAATTGAATGAGTCTCACAAGAATCCTTTAGCCCCTAGGACAGAGGGCGCCATCTTACAGCAAAAGAAATGGACTCTCAAAGAGAGGAACAACTGTTGTAGGGCATCAGAACTATATCTATCTGATCCCAAAGGTCTTCTGATCCCAAAGGTGTTGCCCTTTGAACTGTAATATGCTGACTAGTAGTACCATTGCTTAGTATTTTCTTCATGACACTACTGTAGATTTCTATAAACCAGCTAGAGAATTTGAGACAGAATGAGAAACAGTAACCATTACCATATGCCTGAATTTTCCCCCAGAAAAGCAAGATAACTTCCCTATCATTTGGGCCCTACCAGGAATATGGTTTTTACACTGTATCCTACCAATGATCTTTGTTCCAAGAACAAAATTCCAGTAGTCTTATTTGCAACTTATAACCATTTTCAGTAGAAACAGTCAACACAAAATAATATGACTAAAAGTACACATGGTATTAATTTATTAAAACTGATGGGAAAACAGATATTCTTTATAAAATTTGATATGAGAAAACCAAATTTAGTTAAAATTAAAAAGAACATTTCCAGTAGCAGAAGCTATCACTGGTAAAATTTAATAGGAATTTATAAGGTAAAAAGAAAAAAATCAGAATTTTACTTAGAAAAGTATCCTAAATAAAGCAGCTTTGGTAAAATTAAAAATAAAATGGGGGCAAAAAATGGAGGAAAAAACTTAATCATGATATCCAAAAAACTGTTCAAGGAATTAACCTGATTGAAATAAGCGGGCTCTCTGCAAGGGAAAAAGACTTCAGTGAAAATTCACCATTTTCAGTATGATTCTGCCCAAAACTTCCACAGAGTCAAAATTTCCATTGCATCTTGATGTCTGGAATGGAAAGGCAGGGTCAAAAGTTAGTATGCAATCTTCTGGCAATATTCACCTGCCTCGATGCTCTCCTCCACTGGGTAGGAAATCTGGCAAGATTAAGCAGGTATATATATATCACTGAGTTGGGTCCAGGTTTTCCCAGACCACAGTAGCAAGATTTCTGTCTTAACTCTCTCCGCTTTACCTCCACACTCTTGTTGAACCTGTAGCTCTCATGGCATTTTCCTCCCAACTGATTTGTGGAGTTGCCAGCAGACATTTTTCTGTTTGCCAGCCACTTGCTTTTCCTCTTCCTGTCTCCTGCTCCCAGTGCGAGCGAATGCCTCCAAGTTCCCCCAGGCCTATCATCAAGTTACCTAACCTCTGTAACTGCAGTTGCCACCTCTCAACACTGCCAGTGTTTCAGCTAAAACTGCTGGTTGAATGTCGCCAAGTCCATAGGCGCCGTCTTGTGCCCCAGCCACAGGAGTAGTTCTTTTTAACTCCATTACTGCTGCACTGCACCCTTCCTTCCCCTACCTACACGTGAGTCTGTGAGGACTGAGTAACAAAAGGCTTCCCATTGCCTTCGGGTAGCTCTCGTCTTGTGCTACTCAACTTTCTCTTCCCTTAGGTTGAGTTCTTTACAGGAAACTCCTCAATCCCTTAGACTTTGGACCCCAGAGTAGATGGGATCACGAGCCATCCAGTTGTGCCTGAATCCTAGGGTGACTATGGCTCGGGCCCATGCTGGGATCCACCTCCACTAACTTGTATTATAGATGTTCCACAATCTGAAGCACAAAGATGCCACCAGATGAAACTATAGATTGTTATACCTGTGGGGTTTATCCTTGTTATTTGACCTCTCTACACCTCTTTTGACTGACAACCTTTCCAAACAAGCACATATCAAGGTAAATATTTTATTTTTTAAATAGAAATAGCAAATGAGTTTTTGTTACCGATTACTAAATGTTGAATGTATGGTACTACTTTCTCTATGATCTTTCACTACTGTTTTCAGTTTGCAAAAAAATAAAACTATGCAACGAAAACTTAAGACCTTTAATAATTCAAGGTATTTTATTTCTCTGTCTTAAGATTAATGTTTCCAGCTGCAATCAAACTATATTTAATTATGCTGTTATTTAAGAAATAAATCTTCTTTATCACTAATATTTCCCTCTCCATTGAAACAAAAAGTTCTTAAGTTTGAAAGGAAGAGCAAAAACATTTACAAAACCAGTTGAGTGTATTTGGTTAAGATTTCACCTTACCATAACACCACTTTTCAGTATAAGATCAGTTTAAATAGTGTCAACATATTACTATTGAGTAGAAAGACCAACAATATTTTTAAACAAAAGCTTAGAAAAAAAATCTATTTTTTATTACTCTGTACTTGATGATAACCTTAGAAGGCAATAACACAGAGAATAAAACCTAAATGATCCATTTCCAGAACATTTTTTTTTAAGAATTCCTTTAAGACAATAAATATAGTTCAGCCAAGAGATGTCTAATTTTTTTCTGTAATGCCACCGAAATTATACCGGATCACCATTTCCTGACAAATCCTCCCATAGCAACCATTTTTGGGGTGTATCAATCAACCCAATTTCACATGGGCCATAGAGCTCAAGAATCTGAGGACACCAGATGGAAATATAAGTTACTTCAGTCACCAGGACTATCTCAGACCGCAGGCTTAATCCCAAGAGTGGGTGGGAAAAGAAGCCTGACCAAAAAGTCTTTTGCAAAATGCTTGGGACAAAACATTTAAATATCATTATAAAAGGTTTGTGTAGACTTGTCACGAGACAAGTAATATGGATCACAGTGTTCTAGTCCGTGTACAACTATGAGGACTGAGGAAACCAATCAGGACAAGTCTGTGATGGTTTGCCTCTCAGATTTTGCTAATGTCATTTCAGAGCAGAGTTTACTTCTATTCCCCAAACATGCCCTTATTGCCATTTATTTGTCCTCAGTTCCCTTTCCAGCACATCCTACCAGCTTCAACAGACAGGATCAGCATATAGTGAGGAAAAATAACAACAACCACAACAACTATCATTTGCAGAATTTAATTTATTTACACTTCAAAAACAATGCTGTACTGATTACTTGTATGGGTATTCCGAATTCCTACTTGTATTTCTCCTTTTAAAGACTCTATTTCAAGCAATTGTTCTACTTAATCTTTAGTAAAGAGATCTTCAGATGTATTTCTACATAAGGACTATATAGTTCCCTGTGCCTTGCCAGGTACACTAAGACATGAAGAATACTTGGTGTAGTTTTGCTCCACTACAGCCTTCCACATTCCGGGTTTCTTACTTTTCCACAGTAGGACTTGTTGGGATGTAATACGATCAGGAATCAGCACTCGATATACATGCTAATATTTGCCAGAGAACTACTCTCTGCCAGATTTTTACCTTGTCCCATCAAGAGAGTTACCCCCGGCAGTCACATAGTAGGAGATAAATCCTTGTTCTGGCTAGGGAATTCTCCAGGGCCTCAACAATGAATAGAAATGGTCAAAAAAACCCCGAGTGAAATGCATAGAAAAGATAAATCCAAGTAAGCCAAGATATCTGTGAACTAAATTTCTGGTTTAAAGACAAGTTGTTTTTTGTTTGTTTGTTTTAGTTCAACTTTTGAAGAAAAGTATGCGAGGCGATGTAGCCTTTGAGAAGGCAACCTCAAGATTTTAGGTAGTTAGATTTAACTCTTTGAAGTTTCTCTGAAATGTCACACACCTGTATTTACTTAATTGAGATCTTTTGAAAAAAAATTTTATTTAATGTATCTGCTCTTATTTCTTTTTAGGTCAGTCTCGATTCTCGAGTTAGAGAGGTGATCAATAGAAATCTGTTGGATCCTAATCCTCACATGTATGAAGATGCCCAACTTCAGATATATACCTTAATGCACAGAGATTCTTTTCCAAGGTTTTTGAACTCTCAAATTTATAAGTCATTTGTTGAAAGTACTGCCAGTTCTACTTCTGAATCTTAATTTTCATTAAAAAAAAAAAAAAATCATTTTGGAGGGCTGGGATGGGAAATAAAAGTAGTTCACTAACACCAGAAGCTGAGTTCCTGGAGAACTACAGTTTAGCATTCCTCAGGCTACTGTGAAAATACAACCATATGGTCTTTGTCTCCATTTTTATCAAGGTTATCCATGGTTAAGTTTGGAGAAAATACCACATAAGACAATGAATTGCCAAATTGTTTGTTTTCTTCAACACTCATTCTACTTGCAAGCAAACTGTATTTGTAGTCCTGTGAACAGTCTCCTAGTGTATCCCCCGAGGCTGCATGTACAAAGTAGAGCTGCTTCATTTGCCACGTAGCTGTTGTAATATTTAATCCAATGGCATAACTTATATCCGTGTTTAAGGACTTTTGTGCAATATGGTCTTATAGAAATAATTGCCAAAAAATTGGCTGTGGTTTGCATTTTTAAATATAATCTAAGACAGAAAAAGCCAATTTTTTAGTTGTAACAATGGTATTAAACATGCTCTATACTGTGTTCAGTACACTCATTTTGAAGCCGATATTTCTGTACTTGGAAAAAGAGCTATTTATCTATGTTTGTTGGGAAATCCTGATGGGGGATTCCTCTGGTTGTTCACTGCCAAAACTGTGGCATTTTCTTTACAGAATAGTTTGCTATGTAAAAAAACAAAACAAAACAAAACAAAATTTAAAAAAACCCAACAAACAACAAATAATAAGAAGAAAAGAGAAAAAAGCACAAAACAATTTGAAGATATTCTATCTCAATGACAAATCAGAGTGATACTTGTTTTTAATTGTAATAGAACACAATTAATCTATGTATATATCAGATGTCCAATACTGTAATTAATTTATTAAAGACTGGCTCTCCAGTTCTAAAATGGTTGTGTAAAGTATGTACTTCAGCAAGAAAAAAAAATACTAAGCTCAATAACTTAGTTTTGGAATATAAAAAAAAATTTAATAAAGGAATGCCTACATGTAGCATCATAAAATATTTTGATGAGTAGCATCTGTCCTGTGGCATATTTTCCTTGAAAGCAAAGTCTAATGAAAAGCTAAGTTTTTAACTGAGAAAAGTTTTGTAAGGGTTACGCAGAAGATAATTCTCTACTTCAGACCTTAACTGTTTTCATAGTATCTTCAGAATGACTTATTTTAAAAATGTTAAAACCAAACTATTAATACTCATCCATAATTGAAAGGCAGGACAGTGCTCAAATCTTCTAGCTGCCATATTATTTTTTATAAGTACCACTAAATCTTTAAGACAAAATACTTGCCTGACATTGGCATATACTTTTGACATTCAAGAAAACAGTATCCTATCATGCACACACACAAAAAGTCAGTGTCATATTTATATCAAGGTGTTACATTTGAATATTAATATCCCCTGGAGGCTATTTTTTTAATCTTAAACTTAATAAATATAATATTGAGTAACCTAACATGAAAGTTTTAAAAATATTTATATCCACTGAGAATACTGGGCCTTATATTAAGGATGATATTAAAATTATAGGTTTTCTTTGCCATTTTTTAACTACCTCTCATTTTTTAATTTATTAAACATTTTTAAAATAAACAAGTTTGGGGTTTTCTTTTTAAATTTTATTTTACTTGAAAAGCTGGCATCGTAAGTTTCTTTTTCCATAAACTTAAAACATTTCAAGAATTGTTTTTTTAAGTGAATTTGATTTTCTAATTTATATAGAATTCAGGAGATATGGTTAAAAGGGCTATTATCTATTCCCTATGCAAATATTTTAACTGTTGCAGTGTTTGACAAAATGGGATTAAAAAAAAAGTTTGCAGAGTAGAAAACAAAATGTTCTGTTTACACTGGCGTTGCTGACTATCCTATCATATTCAGCACTTTTAAATACATTATTTATGAAAATGTAGTTAAAATACAAGATAGGAAATATTTATAATAATCATTTCTTTTAACAAATGCCTGTTTTTGTCTGAAAGTGTTAGTGTGTTAAGACATACTTTATCAATGTCAGTAGATATTTACTATTTGAATAGTTTTCAGTAATATGTTAAAGAAAGATAGCTATGAAGATGTTTACAAAAAGTCCTATTTTTTCCAAAAGAGTGAAGAAAAACCTAAAAGAATCATCACTTCTATTGTGAAGCTCTATTGTTCCTAAATTATTTAATTTTTTCTTGATTAGAATTGAGTTTATTATGCTTCTATGATGTATACACATATATGTTGTAATATCATACTTGTTGCTATGTTTGAGGCACAATAAATTGGTGCACATGACTAGAAAATATGTAATATACTATGATACACAGCATGCGTCAATCTTTTTAAATGTAGACTTTATATTCTTGTTGTTACTATATATGATGGTGACCTGCTAGTCATAAGTTATCTTTATAAGATACTTTGGACTATTAGATGAATTGTCTGTTTGACAATACCTTTAATATTTTACCAAATGTAAAAGATAAGGACCCTTCTAAAGAGTCCTAATCTCTAACCTGGGCATTTGTAGAATACAGACTTTGAAGTTAGTGTATCCTTTTGAAACCTGATTAGGAAGTTGCATTGAGAATGATTCTAGACGAGATTTACACATTGGATATTGGTAACCATGTTATGTGAGCATTTCTGCGCTAAATTCCTATGGAGGGGGGAGGGTTTCTCATTTAATTTCAAATCGTTCAAAGTTTCTAAGAGTATGTATATTTGCAACTCTACCAATTTTTAAAATATGGTATAACTCCTTCTGTTTTAAATACAGAGCTATAATAAACAAAAATCCCCCAACTGGTGTCTATGCTACCATTCCAAGAGCACAATATTTGTTATGGTAGAATTTGATTTTTCCTAGTGAATATATTCCTCCCAGGGGAAAAATTAGCACTTTAGAAAGTACACTTTGTGTTTCAGATCGTCAGGACATCTTTGTATACTGTTAAAATCTGCTAATGCACACAGAAAGAGCTTAATGCTCTTTCTATAGTGTCTAAATTCAGATGTGTCTATAATGGAAAGAAAAGTAGAGGATATAGATCATATATAAATACATGTAACTAAATTGGAGAGCCAGACTTCTTCAGAGATGGATCTTGTAACATAGATCACACTAATAATGGCCAGATGATGCTTCTTCTTTACTCTGGATAATTGTTATTATGTTACCCAAAGGTAATAAAGATGCCCCGACAGAGTTAGAGGGCAGCTCTAAGCACAATGGGTGCGCTGGCATATGAACAATAGCAAAACACAATTTTGATATCAATGTTATGGAGCGCAAAAATCAAGACCATAATATGGTCTTCTTTTTTTTTTTTTTAATCTTAAAATATGTACATAGGATGACCAGTTCTGATATTTGGTCATGGTGCATGGGTGTTTATTAGTATCCTTTAATGCTGCCTAGGTTCTTACTTACAGAATGAAATGTATATCATATATTCACCTGATAGTTCAGTTTTGCAAAAGGACTATAGAAATAGGTAAATAATATTTATATATTAGGGGCAAAAATACATTTTCACCCCATTAAGCTGATTTAAAATAAAACCCAATTCTTAATTTTGAACTTACCCATTTGTTTCTATACACTTTTAACATATTGAAAAAATGTCATATCATAACTGTGACAAATTATATTTGCAAAAAATACAACATATCAGATGCTTTGAGGAATAAATATACAAGAAATAAATTTTAAATACAATCAGAAATAGGAAAATAAGAACTCTTTCAAAAGCCACCTACAGTTTCTTAGATCTTAAAATGCCTATATAGAACCCTATCAAACATTAATTTTAAAAACTTTGCACTGGATACATTGGCAAATTATTTTGAAAGGTAGTAAAGATATTTTCTTGTCTGTGTATTTATACTGACAGCTTATGACCGTAATTTTCAAAATAATATTAAGCATTTATATTTGCATGCTCTTTTCAATTCTTTTTAAATTTCTGACCAATATAAAATGCTTATTCTTCTGAAAAAACAGTATTTAATCTGTAGAAATTTTAGTTATTCCTCACTTGCTACAACTGCAAATATTTATCAATAAAACTGATAACCAAAAACTTGACTTCTCATCTCCCTGTAACATTCTTAATAGTATCCTTGCAACACACGATTGTGCACAGATTGATCTTTTTGTTCCCAAATGCCAGACTTTAATTTTAAATTTGATTTTAAGTGACATGTCTGTGTCATATGACTTTGGGCAAATATTCTATTGAACCTCTCTGAGCCTGTTCCCTCATCTTCAAATGAGAAACAGAATACTTTATTTACAGGGTAGGCATGAGAATTAAATAATGTAAACATGGAAAGAATGAAGTGTTACATATAACATTATTATTTTATCAGTGTTCTCCAGCTCAATAATTATTCCTACTTCATGAATGTTATGAATTAGATGCCACTATAATGCACTTTTCCCATATTCTTTTGAAACCGTACTTTAAAATCTGATTTAATTATTCATCCAAAAAAAACCACAAAAAACCAACCTGGGCACCTGGGTGGCTCAGTCAGTTAAGCGTCCGACTTTGGCTCAAGTCATGATCTTGTGGTTCATGAATTTAAGCCCCGCTTCGGGCTGTGTGCTGACAGCTCAGAGCCTGGAGCCTGCTTCAGATTCTGTGTCTCCTCTCTCTGCCCCTCCCTTGCTCGCACTATCTCTCTCTCTCAAAAATAAGTAGACATTAAAAAAAAAAAAATCACAAAGAAAGAAAAAACTGCAACCAAGCTGATTTTAAGATGGAAGATTATATGAATTTGTTCCTGCTTTGTTCAATAGTATGATTCACGCTCAGTTTTCAGTTCATGAACATCACACTGAATCTACAATCAAGAAGTAGGTTTCTTTCAATGATACACATACACAGATATATGTATATAGATGTGTGTATGTGTATAAATTGTATGCTTAAAATAAATGCTTAAATAAGATAAATCATTTGAAAATTTTATTTCCAAAGGGAAAAAACAGTATTCCCAAGGACAGGAAGAATATAAACATCAAATAATTCGCCAAATAAATATGTGGAAGTAAAGCTAAAAACTAAGTTATGAGAGATGGGCCATTAGAAAACATGGATACTGTCACTGGAATAGAAAGCATTCTAGTATGATTTTGTAACTAATTTTACCATGAAAATATGAAAATTAAAAAAATGGTTGTGTGTTCATAAAATTTTTCATTAAACCTTTTATTTTAGAATAGTTTTAGAGTCACTGAAAAGTTGCAAAGATAGCACAGAGAAGTTCTATATACTGCACATCTATTGAGACATTTGTCACACCTCATGAAATATTGATGCATTAAGTCACGCTTATTCAGATTTCCTTAGCTTTTACCTAATATCTTCTTTCTGTTCCAAGATCTCATTCAATATACCCATTTACTTATCATGTCTCCTTAAATTCCTCTAAGCTCAAACATTTTTTTTTTAATTTTTTTTTTCAACGTTTATTTATTTTTGGGACAGAGAGAGACAGAGCATGAACGGGG